GGGGGTGTGTGTGTGTGAGTTTGAGAGAGTGTGTGTGTGTGTGTGTGTGTGTGTGTGTGAGTGCTGGACACTCGCTGTGGGCTCGCCTGAGGGAGCCAGTGTGTCAGACACTAATGAGACAGACAGGACATTTGCTGAGGCAGTCAGAGACAGACCGACAGACAGAGCTGCAGTCTCTGTATGAGTTTAATCAGCTCAGGCTGTCTTACACACACACCAGGGTGTCCACAGATATGAACAAGTTAAATGTAAGACTTTTTAAGACCTTTTTAATACCACCTTATGTGAAATTTAAGACCAAACCTGTGATTTTGTTTGGAACTATTTTCGTTGGTGAAATAGAACAAAACAGCGAATTGTGTCTAAAAATGTAAGTAACTTCGTATACTTTACTACTTGTTTGTTGAACTAAAATCAATGTAACATTTGCAATCGTGAAAATATTCAGCAAAATAGATCCCTTGTCATGGTATGTTACTTGACTATATCATGCTATAAATAAACTAAACATTTTGAATTTGTACCTCTGTATGTTTGTTCTGTGAGTTTCTTTATGTGTGCCGTACACTCATTTGATTTGATTTCTCCATGAAAGTCTCTCACAGAGACAGGCAGCACGAGCCTCAACAGCGAGACATTGATAATAGAAATACACTTTCAATTATCAATCGCTGTTTAAGCTGAATGTAATCAAATCAGAAGAATCATTTGCGCGTTTAGATGCGTGATTATATTTTGTCACTTAAGTTTTAATCAGGCTATTAGCCCTGTCGGGCAAGTACAATTCTCAAGCCATTTTTCAGGAAACTTGCATTAACCCATTTAAAGTAGTTCGGAGGCTGGACAGCGAGCTGGTGTTCGACTGCATTCTGTAACCGCAATTCTCTCTGATGACGCGGTACCTACAGAGGGTTGTGACCAAAAATATTTAAGACCTACTGAATCTGAATTTAATTTGCAGCAGCAATATTTCTTACATGCTCACAGCAGCATGTTGTGGATGTATTGGCAGCAGCAGCCAAGACCAAATACATTAACATTATCATGTACATTATCATGCCAATCCCTCCGAGAGTTGTCCTGACAGAAATGAAGACATGAGGAGACGTGAATGACTGGTCCAGTCACGTGATTCTGGAGTGCGGTCACATATCATCAAGTCAAACAGTAAAGGCCAGCAGTTACTGGATCTTGAACAGGTTAAATGTGTGTTTGCAGCAGATCAGTTTACATCCCCGGCTGAGAAAGATATATTCTGACAACATTCCTGCTAAATGATGAAAATCTCATTTCTGAACGTTCTGAAACGAACAGTAACATTTAAAAAAACATCAGATGAACGTCCAACTGATATGTTTCAGGCAAACCCACAAACAATGTATAATGTTTTTGTGCTAATGTTTTGAGAACATTATTAAAGACCAGATAACTTTTAGCAAATATTTTGTTAATGTTAGGAATGTTAATTTATAACTTTGAGAGAGCGTTGCCAGACACTATTGGAGGAGAGCTGATGACATCACTGAATCATCAGTGAACTGACTCTTGTTGAAAATGACTTTATTATTGTCCTCTTGCATTATTGACAAGCTATTCTGCTGTTTAACACTGTAAAGCTGCTTTGACACGATCAGTATGGTATAAAGCGCAATAGAAATAAAGGTGACTTGACTTAAAAGATTATATTACATAATATGTTATAATCCCAAATACAGTTACATAAAAATGTCACTTGTGTTATATGTAGGATTTCTATTAAATATTGTCAATTTAAAAGCTAAATGTAACGTCCAACACCCAACAGCATGATTACAGTCATCGCTCAGTGAAGCTTAATGGAGACTTTTATGGAAATGGAAAGGGAAAGGGAATATAAGAATCAAACGCAGGTTATTCTCTGAGCAGACAGATCCAGCGTCTCATAAAGCTCCCGTCCTTCATCAGATCCTCTCTATTATCGATTGGCTCTTGATTCGTAAAACATCCAAATAATTTTCAATTTAAATGTGTTTAATGGAACAGCAGCCAGAGTGCATGTCCTTATTAATCAGCATTACATTTACACAGGTATAAAGAATGAAACATGAATATGCTTGAAATATCATGGCATTAATATCTGTGTATTTTTAAAACGAATGTAGGTTTTGTCTGAGGGATTGGAGGATCTACAGTTCAGTTCAGTCTCTCACGTCATACATCATTAACGTGTTTGATCACACGCTTCACAACTCAATATTTTAAAAGTCGACAAAATATGATTTGAGTAAGAAATGTCACAAGTTATTAATATAATTTATTCACTTATCTGTTCAAATTACAATGTTGAGCTCTGACTTAACGTGACAGGCCTGAAATACTGCAGTACTTCAGCAACAAGAAACAACAGTTTCATACTCTACGAAGCACAGAGGTTATAGTTTAACAATCATAAGATGATGAATCTGTATTAGTGCAGCTCTGGGTCTGATACTGGATCTCAGGTCAACATCTGATAATTCAGCATGAATTGAAGATGAAGGCTGGATTATGACGAGCATCTGTTCTCTGCATATGAATGATGCTGATGAGTAAAAACAGCTCTCTGTGAGATCTGCGCTGCTGTTACGACACGAACCGCTCCATCATCAGCTCGACTTCACCGTCTCAAACCAAACACACTGTGAAATTATTTCAGGCAGAACAGAGCGATGAGGGTGAATTCTGCTGCTTTATTTCTGTTTGTCACGTTTTTGTTGATGTCAAGCTGCTAGAAGGCTCGATTTCCTTCTTTTTCTCCTGGTCTCTGGTCCACTGACACACTGCGTTTGTCAAGGACAGATTCAGTGTTCTTTGCTGGATCATTAGAGGAACATTCAAAACAGTAAAGGTCCTTTCACACCGAGTCCGATGCGTATTAATTAATCAGACACCGAGTGGTTGAACTAGGTATTGCAGTCCAAATTCAAAATATTGGAGAGGGTTTTTTCACCGGGCTCCTCCTCCTCAGACGTGACGCACACGCAGGTTGCTAGATTGACGACACCAACAGGAACGAACGCACTTGACGATGAATGAAATGAAATACGCTGTGTTTTCCACCAACTGGCAAACCAGGTGCCGAAACACAATTGGGTAAACTGGCAGTGGGCGGAGTCACAGACCAAAACAGAGACCGACATTCCGGCCCGGAACGCACGTTCAAAGCAGAATAACTGACTGTAGCATTGTTTTTCAGATAAACAAGTGTGTTAACTTGGCATGTTTCTTACATATCTGCAAACATATTATGGTATTTTTATGCTTTAGTAGAGTCAAAAACTTACATACAGCACCTTTAACGCCAGAAAAAAGTAACATGATTAAAACATCAGTAACAATAAATAACTGTGTAAACACCAAAACGCAAGTAAACGTGCAAAACTAAGAAACTCAGCATCCTGAGGTAAACATTCAAAATGAAAAGTTTTTATATTTAAAATACAGTTAGTTAGGTAACATCACACAACGTGTTCACCATTACTACTGTTCAATAAGCAAATACAATAATATTAGGTCACTTACATCTTATGCGGAAACACAGCGCACCTCACAGCAACCAGACGATTCATTGCTGATTGATTCCGTGTTTGGAACGAATCGGTTGAGTCAGTTTCATTAGCCCATGCATAAACATCTGGGGTCTCATTTATAAAACTCTCCGTAGATTTCATCCTAAAAGTGTGCGTACGCTCAAAAGCTAGAAAAGTTTTCAGATTTATAAAACCATGCGTACGCCAGAACCTGCACAAAATCCCTTTATAAACCCCAGTCAGCGGAAGATGTGCGTACGTGCATCTCCTCCCCTATCACCAAATATGGAGCTTACAACGCCTAGTTTTACTATGCATAACCTCATCTGCATATCATTTCCATGCACATCCCATCCACGTGACACCATGTTTAACACCGTCAAAGGTACAAGACGTTAAGTGAATGAGATACGGACTATAAATGCCATTTGTGCCGTACACAATTTTTATTGCTAAAAATAATCCAATATCCTTGTTATGTTTTAGCATAAATATATCAAAATCCATAAAAACAAAACGGTTTAAAATAGTTCTCAGATAAATATTTTAGAATAGAGTTGATCTCATTCTTTTCCACTGGCCGAATATTATTTAAATTGTTTTAAACAATCTAAATCAAATTAAATTAATGCAGTTTTGCTGATAAGGTGAACATCTTTTAGCTATTTTAGTGGAAACAGATATTTATTGGAGTGTAAATACAATTGTCTGACACTGCGCGTCATTGACAAAGTATTTTAAAAAGGAAATCTTACCGTTTTCTTCGAGCTGTATCCTTCAAACACTATCCTAATGTTGTGGAGATGCTTCACACGACATCAACACATACAGCTGTGGTTGTACAGTAAGATATTATCACTGGACCTGTTCACACTGAACAATAGACTGCTCCACTGAATCCAGCAGTGTCCGCTGCAATATCGAAGTAAGCGCGCATCATGATCATTGTTCTCACTAAAAATATTTTCTCATAACATGTGATCTGCAGTTTAATTTAAAGAGGAATTATTGTGCACATAGCATTCCTCGCTGGCATTAAAACAGCATGCCACAGGAAAAGTGATCAAGCGCATCCAATATAAATAGGCTGTCTAAATTCATATAATTTTGGTTTAACTTCTGTGTAATGACTTTTACACGAGTTTCACAATTTGAGTTGAATTACTGAAATAAATGAACTTTTCCACGACATTCTAATTTATTGAGATGCACCTGTATATCGACATGAAAACTGAGTTTCAAATCATTGTTTACTTCATTACTTT